TATTATCACTCATGGCTTGAGTCCAATCATCTCTTCATTCAAATGGAGTTCTGTTCACAAAGTCTTAAATCTGTTCTCAAAGACAAACCCATTGTCTTCGAGAGACAACCGGAAGACCACATGAATAATGTGTTTGAATATTATATTTCGTGTGAAATATTCAAAGAGATCTTAGAAAGTGTTGAATATCTCCACTCATGTGATCCACCGGTCATTCATCGGGATCTCAAACCCGACAACATTTTAATTTCAGTCAACATTACATCCAATCGTTGTGTAAAACTGTGTGACTTTAGTTTGGCCACCGATCACAACACCGACAGACACACTGCCAGCCGATACGGGCACACATCATGTGTGGGCACTTTGGCATATATGGCACCCGAACTGCTTTCAGGCAGTGTTTATAACCACTTATCAGACATTTATAGTCTGTCTATAATCGGTCAGAAGTTGTTTGGTATCGATCTTCAGGCGTAAGTGTTTTATAAATAATAATTTAAGTAATAAATTATTTTTAACATATTTTGATTGATTAAAGCTCTCAAACAATTGAAGCCAAAGACTCAGTCATTAAGAAACCGATACTTTGTTTGTTTGAAATACTGGAGAAAATGATGTCAACTCCGCGATGGAGACAACGGCCTGACTGTCAGCAAGTGTTGGCCACACATAACGAGTGGTCTATCGATAAAACTGTTGTCATTAATGATATGGATTTCATTAAAGTGTTAAATAAACTTAAATCCAATAATAATTTAATATTTCATGAAATTCTAGTTTGCAAAACAAAATAATATATCACTTGTTTAAAAATAATTACATACACTCTGCCCTCGATATAGGGCACCTTGATATAAAATGAATTAGAATAACAATAAATTATGGGGTGATTCACATAGTATTGTGTACTTTTATAAAAAATTTAGAACTTTTCTCTCTTTTGTTTGCATCTAGTCATAATAAATTACGTTTGCATATCCCGTTTATCTCCCTAAGGTATAAAATACGATTGTCTCTATAATTATGTGTGCCGTGAAATTCTGTCTAATTTATACTTTATTTAAACTAAAATATATATAGAGATTCTGTGACTGAGTTCTACAATATGTTTATTATAGAAATAATAACATAAAAATATAATTAAAATTTTTTATTAATTAGTTTTTATTTTTTAAAATTTGGGTGTAGCTCAACAAAAGATAATTAAATATAAGAATATTAACAAAACAATATTTATAATAATTTTATATTTAAATTAGTATAGGTAATTATTCTATTTTATATTATCGTGTTGTTTGTCTATATTTTTTGATTAAATACTTAATATTGAAAACATATTTAGCCATGGCAACTATTTTGTAAATGCAATATTAATGTGCCATATATTTTATTGATTGCATAATACAGTCAACACAAATGCTAAAAAGTTAACTAAGTTTTTCACAGTTTTATGTGATTTACAAATTATTCAAGAATACTATAAAATGGATTTCCAAAAGTTATATAATATTTTACTTGTCTTGAAATCCAATTTATATAATATCTTCTTTACACTTATAAATGTAATAAAATTCATGTGTATTATCATTGAATTAAAAATAAAGCAACTAGCACAATTCATTCATATTATCATAACTAATAATCATATTAATTTTATTTCCATTATAAAATTGATAATCAAAGTGCTGTGTTTTTGTGTGTTATCCTATGGGGCCATAGAGTTAACGAGAGAATACTGTAGTTATCCCACTGTCTATAGCGTTAACGTAAAGCCGAGCAATAATTTGTTTTTACCAGAGATTACTATCTGTACGGAAAGGGATGTGTTTTTTGACAAAACAAGGATTAATTATGAGTTTGGATTAATCCATGAATACGAGAATTGGAAACAAATGGCAAAAATTATTACTGAAAATATAGTAAACTCAACATGTGCAAGTGATATTTACTATCCATACATTTGCGATAATCCGTCTTTTGTAGAAAATTATTATTTAAATCATTTTTACGACAAATATTTGCCGCAAATGTTTGCCAACTATTTGTTCAATGATTTATTCAATCGATTCTCAATTAATGGCAACGAATTGATTAACTGTTCGGCAAAA